ATCTAGTCCAACTTCCTGTTCAAGCAGGAGACCCTTACGGAATCATAGAAGAACAGAATTGGAAGGGACCTTGGAGGTCATCTAGTCCAGCCCCCTGCTCAAGCAGGAGACCCTTACAGAATGACAGAATAACACAGTTGGAAGGGACCTCGGAGGTCATCTAGTCCAGCCCCCTGTTCAAGCAGGAGACCCTTACAGAATGACAGAATAACAGAGTTGGAAGGGACCTCGGAGGTCATCTAGTCCAACCCCCTCCCCTGCTCAAGCAGGAGACCCTTACGGAATCAGAGAAGGACAGAGTTGGAAGGGACTTCGGAGGTCATCTATCCAGCCCCCTGCTCAAGTAGGAGACCCTTACAGAATTACAGAATAACACAGTTGGAAGGGACCTCGGAGGTCATCTAGTCCAGCCCCCTGCTCAAGCAGGAGACCCTTACAGAATCATAGAAGAACGGAATTGGAAGGGACCTCAGAGGTCATCTAGTCCAACCCCTGCTCAAGCAGGAGACCCTTACAGAATGACAGAATAACACAGTTGGAAGGGACCTCGGAGGTCCTCTAGTCCAGCCCCCTGCTCAAGCAGGAGACCCTATACCATTTCAAACAAGTGACTGTCCCAGTCTCTTCTTAAAAACCTCCAGTGATGAAAGCACCCCCAACTTCTGGTGGCAAGTTGTTCCGCTGGTTAACTGTCCTCCCTGTTAGGAAGTTTCTCCTTAGTTCCAGGTCGCTTCTCTCCTTGATTAGTTGCCATCCGTTGCTTCTTGCCCTGCCTTCTGGTGCTTTGGAAAATAAGTTGACCCCCTTCTCTACTTTATGGCAGCCCCCCCCAAATACTGGAGTAATTTCTACCCTATCCCCCCCCCCCCAGTCCTTCTTTTCTCTGGACTGGCCATTCCCAAATCCCGCAATCGTCCTTTGATCCTCTTAGTTGCTCTTCTCTGCGTCTTTTTTGGGACGAGGTGACCAAAACTGGAGGCAGGATGCCAGGGGTGGCCTTACTAAGGCTTTACAAAGCAGGATGAAGACTTTGCCTAGTTTTGATTGTTGGCCTCTGTTTACACAACTGAGGATTGTATTAGCTTGTGTTAGCACACGGCTGGCTCCTGTTTAAGGGATCGTCCCTTCGGATGCCAAGTTACTGTTTTT